TTCACAGAGATATAGAAAATATACTGAAAACCCTTTTTCTTATTGGTTTGGAGAAATAAGTTTTTAATTAAAAGAAAGTCAGGTTCAGAATAACGCCAGTCTCATGTCACCTGTTTTGGATGCTGGTGGTGAAAGCATAATTCACACTAAAATCTGTATATGTTTTCTGGTTTTGTTTTACCTTCTTTGTAAATCCATGATGGGGTGAGGTGTGATGGTCCTTCTCTGAAAATCCTACTGTGCAAATTTAGAAAATGGAAAAAGGTAACAGTGAAAGCAAGTCTACTGCAAACTGCTGTTTATGAATTGAAGGTTTTTTTAGTGCTCTGAGTTATTTTCGCAACTAGTATGATAGTGGAAGTTGTAATCAACAAAGCATGCAATTGGATACATTCTAGTGTGAATTTATGCTCAGTGGGATGTCTTAAATGAGAACTATTTTTGTGTCTATTACACTGTTCTGTCCCCAGTGCCAGATGATGTGTAATCATGCTAAGGTAAATGCAAAAGGGGTATAATATGAGATGTTTTCCATATATGTCGTTAAATAATTTGAGTAACTGAGCATGGGCAAAAATACCTTTTCTGTCTGTGGAGCTGGAGTCTTACTCTGGTGGTACCTGACCTTAAGGCACTGCAAGATCTGATGCTGTCTGGAGGCCAACATAGTCTTTAAAGTGTAACTTTGTACAGTAGTTGGATAAGAACATCAGGTTGTGTGCATGTGCATACATCCACAATCCCATCTTCTTCCTGTACTGGATGTGCTGTCATGCTACTTGTAATGCTTCTAATTTGTATTAATGAACTACATCTGAAGTCAATTTTGTAATGTAATGCCTTGTGAATTGGAACCATTACCAGGTTGGGGAGATGTTTATAATTGGACTCCCTGATGTGTTCTGCTTAAACCAATTCAAGTCCTTTGTAGCTGTAAGATGGTGCTGCTCAGTAACTGTTACAACACTGGTTTATGTGATTTGTTTCTCCAAGAGCTTGGCCCAACACAGGCATTACCTGTGTCTGATTCAGAATGCCATCTCTTTACTGCCTTCTGTAACCCAGCTGGGTGGTGCTGATTTTTCTTCTGCAATTGAGTTTCTTAATGTGATGGTGCTCTTCTATGTACATGCGATCTGGACAGTAGAGGAGAAAGATGTAGGTAAGCATACACCTGCTTTTATGAACCACATGCTTAGGTGAATGCTGACTTTTCTTTGTAGTTTCCACTTAGTTATGCAGTATATTCTAGTTCAAAGGTCATGGCTCACTGTTATCATAAGACTTGTTGAAACCATAAAAGTCTTGCATGCTTTTTCCTACCCCCCCTCATCCCACAGAAGAGGAGATGAATCACTAATCTGTAGCCACCTTCTTTCTTGATCTCTAGAACTGAACTTGCTGCTCTTTGACGGTAGGCTTGGAGCTGGCAGCATGTCAGCCTTCATTTGAAGGCTAATGTGTAGATTCAGAAAGCGTTCTTGGAAAAATGAATGGGCTTGTATCTAAAATGTGGCTACTAGTGTCTCTTCTATAGGCAACTCTAGAGTGTATTTATAGCCATTGTATGCTTCATGAAAAGTCCATGGAATTGCATTCAGAGTATTTCTTTAATGTTTAATTTGGATAGGATAGTATAGAAGCTTCCCAGCTTATGTGGTAGCTGACATGAGTATGAGGATGTATAAGCATGTTGGTAGAACACTAGAAGGTGAAATTTGCTGGAGTATGTGGTGAATCAATACAGGTGTTCCCAAAAGGGCCTTTCTTGGTGAAATGTTGGTTTTGACCATGTGGAATAACTTGTTTAGTTTTAGCATTTGTCACAAGCAGAGGCACCTCTAAAGATCTGGGGAAAAACTGGCATGCTTTTCTTCTGAATAAAATTGTGTATAGGTTTGAGTTTGGGTTTTGTTTGGTTGGGGTTTTTTGTTTTTTTTTTTTTTTTTTTTGGGGGGGGGTTTAGTAGCTGTTCTTTGGTATTAGGTACCCTTAGGATATAGCCTTTCATTTCTTCCAGGTGAATGTCCAGTTACCTGGGAAAGACATTAAAAAAGCTTTGACGTGATCTCTATCTATTAGATGCTAGGCAATTTGTGAAGTAGTCACTACCAGTTTTCTGTCAGCTTATCCAGAAATCAGTTGCTAGTAGACAGCCACAGGTAGCAGGTATGTCATGTGCCTGCTCCTGAAAAGGTGCTGTTCGCAGCCTCATCTGCCAACGTGAGGACACAAAACTCAACTTTAATTCATCAAGCTGTGAATTTGAAGTAATTGGAGCTTTGGTACATGACCTTTCTCAGATCTGGATGCAATAAAATTCTGTGGTTTCATGAATTGAAGCCATAGTGATACAGTTACACAATCTTGAGAATAATAGAGAAGACAAAGCTTTCAGGGTTTTTCCCCTGCGGTGTTGGCTCACAGAGTCTGTTGATTGTCGGTGTTACTGCCTCATCTCTCCCCAACAGCTGCTGGTTCTTGTTTGATGAGATCTATCAAATGAGTTTGTGGAGTGGTGCTGTAAAGACTATAAGGGTCTAATAAATAACCTTCTACAAACCATTATATTTTCAACCTGGATCAGTTCATTGTTGGAAGGATGCTATGCTGAAAATCAGAGAAGCTGTAGTTGTGCAAGCCAGAGGGTGATGCAGATGGCTCAGAGTGGGAGTTGGGCAGTGATGGTTCCTTTGGCTGGCACTATTCCTGAAGAAAATAGTGTGTGAAACTGTGGCCTTCATTAAGCTCCAGATTGTCAGCACCTGAGCTGCAGTGTGGTAAGCAAGTGTTCCTACATGTGTTTCAAAGCATGGTAGTTTTCTAACTTAAGCCACCACTCTATGTATTGTGTGTTTAAAACTACTTCAGTATTAAACTGGCTTCAGAGTGCTACAAGTTCATTATCTGCATTGAGGTAAGTGTTCCCGCTAAAAGAGAGTTTCCTACTATGTCTTTGCTGGTTTGTTTCCACACTTGCACCAGTTCTAAAGTCCTTGCAACTATGGCGACCAAATGAAGGATTTGCTGCGCTTAAAACTTTGTTCTGGGTGTCCGTGTCATCAAAAGTAAAAAGGTATAAATGAGTATCAGGAGGCAGGTGCTGGTGCAATTTATACTCGGTGACTGCATAGCTATAGTATAATTGTATCCTAAGAGCAGACCTTTGCTTCTGAAAAATTAAAGATATTAAAGCCAGGCTTGAAATACAGACTTGCTCCAGCACCTGAGAAGAGCAGGTGTCATTTGCCAAAGAATGCATTGTCTGGAGAGGCCAGCAAGTATGTATGCCTTTATTGATTCATCAGCTATTACAGAAGTTAGTAAAACTCTGGCTTCCTTTCCCATGTGATAGTATGAGTGCCATAGGTTAATAACTGGTTTTATTCTGTCTGCTGGCCCTAATCCCTCATTAATTAATTATTTGCTGTTGTCTTTTTTTGATGTGTTTAGTATCAACCTTTTCCCTCGGTGTTGATGTTTCTTTGATTAGAAAGTTTTAAAAAATATATTTCTCATAATAACGGGCTATAAACTGCAGTTTGAGTACAGTCCAGAGAAATTTGAGCACCGTTCAAGGCTGTCCGAGCCCTCTTTTTGATGTGGTGGTGGTGTTATTATGGAAATGTATTGTCTTGGTTTCCTTCTCATCCTCTAGCTGCTGCCATACACGTGGCAACATCCTTCATAATATATTTGCATACTAGAGAGTTAGAGTTGTATGCCAATCATAATCTGTTTAGATTACCTAAAAGGAGGTAATTTCCCTAAACCTAGCAGTACTGGCAAAAATAATCTATTCTGCAAGAAGTAGGGTTTATCACCTTTGATACAGATAGAGGATTTATATCTTGGAGTGTTCTTTCATATGTAGCTATTCTGTTATAGGATAGCTGTTCTATTACTTTTAGGAATACAAGATAGCAATTTGCATCGAATGGCTGGGTTTTTGTTTTGATACACTGACTTCTGAGATTTGATCTTTAACTTAATTCTTTGAACAAGTTGTCTCGTTAAAACCATGCAATTTTTCCCCTCAGTGTTTTGTTGAGTGAGCCCTTACCTTGTAGCTGCAAGGTGTTTCTGTAATAGTCACAAGTATTAAGTATTACAGTAATCGTACTGGAGATGGACATGCACATGTATTATACAACTAGTCAAGCTCTTACTTTCAGGAGCTGGTATGTAAGTATCAAGATGACTTTTAGTGTGGATTTTATGCAGAAAGCCTTGCTTTGTTCTGTGTGCTGACATATATGCAATGCTGAGACACTATACAATGACTTTTTTGTCTGTGGTGTCGTGTCCACCTCATGGATGAGTACAGTGTTTACGTCAGCATCTTTAGGCTAACGGCTGTGGAGATACACAGATCATGCTTGTTTTGTCACAGTAATATAGGCTTCCAAAGTTGAGTCTATTTTAATACTTTTCAGTTATTTTTTCAATTCTCATAATCCTAAGAATACATTGTTTATATCAATAAAACTCTTAATTTCTATTTTGTTTTTCCCTCTAGTGAGCCTGTGAAGCCTCACTGTTCTATTATTTGTGCCTATCTAGTTCTCTAGGAAGAGGGAAGGCAGAAGGCAGTTTTGGGTGGTGGTTTTCTTTTTTTTGTTGTTGTCGTTTTGTTTTTTGGGGGGGGGGCTGTTTTTGTTTTTTTTTTTTGTTTTGTTTTTTTGTTTTTTCGTTTTGGTTGGCCTGGATGTAAGCAATGTGTTCTCTGTAGCTTTGCAAGCTAAAGAATTTTAGTGGAATGTTAGATTAAACTGCAGTACATTGGTAACTGTGACTTTGGTTAAGTCAACAATTTAGCAACCTTGTATATGGAGACTGACTGTCAGTAATGGCTAAACCTGGCTGGAAGTACTTTGAGCTGGTGGAGGGGGATATAGAGCTTACAGCTCATTGGAAGGCCAAGGACTATTCTGAAATGCTTGTCTGTCATTTCTTGAATGAATATCTCACAACTGCCTGTCTTTAAATTTTTACTATAGATAAATCATATTGTGCACAATGGAGGATTATACAAAAAGCCTTTCAATGAAGCTTTTGAAGAAACACCAATGCTGGTTGCTGTGCTGACCTACGTAGGCTACGGTGTTCTCACTCTGTTTGGATATCTGCGAGATTTCATGCGGCAGTGGAAGATTGAGAAGTGTCAAAATGCAACAGAAAGAGAAGAACAAAAGGTAACCACCGGAAAATAATGGTCAGTGGGAAATTATGTGGTTGAGGCTACAGATTGAGCATTTCTTTAGGGAGCAGTGTTGTTTAGAGTTTTATGCTGTTTTCCTTGTCTTCTGAATGCCCCAAATATTATACTAGTGTTGCTGTGTGGTTAAACAAAATAATGTTTCTTTTAGTTGGGTTATTTTTTAGTGGAGCAGTTCCCTCATCTAGTTCACTGCAAAGCTGCATCAACAGTTATATCAACCTTGAGAGATGCCCCAGCTGCAGAAACAAGGGTTTGGCAGGGAGAGACTGCATATGCCAGCATTAGCACCTAACAAAATGATTATCTAAGGATCTGGTCTGAGTTTGACAACAGTGGGAGGCTTTCTGATGCTACTCTGGTAGCTGTGTTTTGATTTGGAAGCATGCTGTCAATTCTCTTTAGCCAAGCAGTTGCAAAAAAAAGCTTGTGGATGAGAACCAGAGCGCAAACTGAATGACTTTAAATTCATCTGGAGTCCAGAACACTAGCAGGTTAGCTGGTGTAATCTGAGGTACTGACTTCTGACTCACTGATATCAACTAAAAGTAATAAGTCATAATAAGACCAGTTCACAAAAGTTGCTGTTACCAGGTAAAAATTCTTGTCTGCTTCAACAGTTAGTTTGGAATAGATAATCCTAATTATGAATAGTTGTAAAATATTTTTAGAGGCCTTTACACAGGAATTAATTACTGTTAAGAAAGCTACTGTTTAAACTTGCAGTTCGCAAACTATTTCCTGCTAACTCTTAGTGTGAGCCCTCTTAGCACAGTGTGAATACCAGTGAGCTTTGCTCCGAAGGTGAATTGGCTTACAATTGCTGATTGGGGTTCTGGTTTTTTTTACCTGCTTTGGGGAGCCAATTATAGAATGTTAAAGGAATTTGTTTTCCTGTTGCTGGTTTCTGGTTCTCTCTGCAGCCACACGAACAGTTGGCTAGCAGAAAGTAGTGGGGGCAGGAAGGACATATTACTAATGCAAACAAATAATCAAGGGTGGGGAGGGAAGAAAAAAAAGGAAGGCTTCTTTAGAGGCTCATTTTGGAGGCAGCACTGGAATAAAGTACATGTCATCTTATGCTGGACTAGCTAAAATGCAGTAAACTAGCCAATGCCTAAAATTATTCCACAGTAGCTTCTTTGTGTCAGCATCGTGAGGTAGAATAAGCTAATTCATAGTAAGAGACTTAATTCCAAAATAGAAAGATTCTCATAGGAGTTTAATGAGTAATAAGTATTTCATATTGGTTGATCTACTTGGTCAGTAGATCTAATTTGGGAATAAGTTATTGATACTAAGATCTTGGTAAAGATTGTCATAGAGGACATTGAAGCAGTCTGATAGCAACTGATTATCCTAGTTCTAAAAGAAATTTAGCCTTAAATTTTTTTGTAAATTAGCATTGGATCTTACCCTGAAAGACATTTGCTTAACAAGTATACTTCCCAGACAGATGAGTTGAAATCCTTTGAGTTTGTGTGTTGGTCATGACTTGCAGGGAAGAGGTGCATATATTCTGTTTTTGGTTTGTATATAGGTTGTCTGTGGATGGAGCTAGTAAGAAGTGCCAGTGAGTATTGCATAAGACTGAAAAAGAGGAAATCCTGTTTAAAAAAGTTTTGGTATTGAAGAAATCTCGGCCTAGTGTACTTCCCCAAATCACATTTTTAGTGCTTATGTTGGAATAGCTGTTTCCGATATAGAACAAGTAGAAGAGTGATCATGTGAGGTCTAGAACATACAGTACTTATCCTCACACTTTGCTGCTTTAAGCTTTGTTTGCCAGCAAATGAATTGATGAGAGCACATTGCAGCGTATCTAGTGTGGGAGCCAGGCTTTATTTTGGTGCAGGGAGGTGCTCAATGACTTGTTTTGAAACAGTTTCTCATGATTTTCAAATATTTGAATCTGTCGAGCTGCTGGCTGACAGCCCGATCATATTTTGGAATGCTGATACTAGGGCACAGAAAAGGCTCAAAACTCACACTTCCTTTTTTATTAATATGTTCAAATTGGAGGAACCCTGTGGTTACCCTGGGATAGTCTCTGGCAGATTTGTGACCTCTGTGTGGAAAGTAACATTTTTATTATTTAAAATCTAAAGAGCCAACTAGATGATTATGATTTTCTTCTATATCAAGCAAAAGGATTAGCTTTAGCTTTTTGAAATAGTTCGCAATCACTTAGGTGAAAGCTCAAAGCAATGACAATGGGAGTAGTTGTGTAGCTGAACAGTGCGTGACAACCTGCTTCGTGAGCAAAACAATATTATGTAGTGTGAGGAAGTGTTTCATAAAGGGACGAATTAATTTGTCCTGAAAGTCATGGAACTGAACTATGTGGATTTTCTTTGGTGTGTTTCTGAAGGTAATCACAATTAAAAGGATAGTGTAAACTTAGATCCAAAAGGTAATATTAAAATGAAACACACACACAAAAAATCCACCTTCAGTTTTTGTGTGGTTTGGAGGGCAATTCATTTCAGAGAAGCAAATCTTTCCTTACATTGTCACTTAATATTGTAATCTTAGTCTGTGCATCAGAACTAGAAACCAAAAGTGGTCAAACTAATTTAAAGAGCAGGCTTTCCAATGGGTCTATATTGGGACTGTCTCTGACAGTGGGTTAATTCCTTTAAATTTATTAGAGCCTTGCATTGAAATGAATGATTTCAGGAAAACCTAATGTTCACTCATGGTTGGAACACAAAAGGGTGGAAAGGGACAGGCTTTGCTGGTCCTGATTTCCAGGAAACACTCTGATGTGTTTGGCATTGTTTAAAATATATCCAGCTAGTCTTTTCCTGGAAACCAGTGTTGTGTAGCACATCCTCTCTGAAGCATTATCAGTCTGTTTTAGTCATGGGTAAGCAGCAAGACTACCAGTTCTCAAGTACGCTGAAATCAATTTATGCATACCCAATTTAATGTAATGTCCAGTCCTACAACGTAGTTCAATCTGCAAAATGATGAAAATCAGGATGAAAATCATTTTTACCTTTATTCTGGTCTGATTTACTTGTTGATTACCTTGTACTTTGTATATGAGAGCAACTGTGCCATTGCACCGGGCCGGTAACTCTAACAAACCTGTACATGCTCAGTAGCTTGCCAGGTTAGAACTTGTTTCTAGCATTTGGGATTTTCAAATACTTGTTCACAGGAATCCAGCTGTAGGAGTATCTCAGGGGCAGTAAACTGGAGTCTTTTGTTCAGTGTTGTCTTAGCATCTGTATAGCTCATCAGAGGCTTCCTGATGGTATAAAGGCTGCCCACAGTTATTGCTCCACTTTTTCTTGACTCTTGTAGCAGTGAGATAGAACTAGTCTTTCCACTTCCTTTTAGAAGTGTGAAATTTGGTGCAATTGTCTACTAGATGGCTATTCAGAGTCAATTTTGTATTATCAAGGAATACATTATGTGAATTGCAGATAAGCTCGACTGGTGCTCCTGACACCATTTATTAGTTTAGGTGCAACGCTGCAAAAACTTGGCTTTAAAAGCAGCATAATCCCTGCATTTGCATGTCACTGTGCCCCAAGCTAATGGTTACAAAGCTCTCATTATGATCTTTACTTGTTCTAGTATTAACTTCCAGTGTGATGAAAACTTGGATTTCCAAATCACCTATTCCTCCATCTAAAATGCCACACTTTAGAAAGATTGCAGGGGGCCACAAAAAAAAAAAAAAAAAAAGCCAGCCTCCAAACCAACCAGACACACCCATCTGGTCCTGTATGCTAGCTCCAAAAGAAGGCTGTCAAAAGCCAAAAGTCAGTTTATAAACGCACGATATCCCTACCATTTCTCTTTTTTGTGTTCTCAGATGCATGGGTCTTAAACTTCTTGGCAGGGTTAGGATTACTGAGGAAATAGGCTATCCAGTTTTGATTTATGCAAAAAAAACCCACTTCCTGCTTGTCCTACTTTAAGGAACCTTCTCATAAGAGCTAGCTGAGGGTGGTTTACTGGGGAGGGGGGCAGGGGGAATGGGCAACAAAGGTGCTGGCATTAAGCTGATGCCTCACTTAGAGCTCTTTGCTACAATCTTACGGCTTGGTACCTCAAAAAACTAAGGCTAGTGTCCCATATTAGGCCTTAATTCCCTTATCCGTAATTTGTTCATTGAATTCTTATTGACTTTTAAGACACATTTTTTTCCTTATCATAATCCATTAGGTTCAAATAACTTCTCTACTTCCTAGTTAAATCACTTTAAACTTAGTTATACTGTTGGCTTGCAAGATCATTCTTGTGTTGCATGTCTTGGTGTCCACCTGTTGTGGGTGATTGTCTCTATCTCACCAGCTGAGCTTGTTACTCTTCCTGCTTTGTCATAGTGGGTTTCAAAATAAAATATGCTCTATCTGGTCAGTAATCTGAGATGAGATTGGACTGTATCAGCCCAGGCATACTTGCTTGAGTTGGTGTAATGACTCATTTCCAGCCTGTGATCTTAGCCAAGAACCTTGGATAAAATATCAGTTGTTTCCTGGGTCATATAGTTGGTGTGCTTGAATAACTACTGCAAAGCTGAATTCTCATGCAAAGATGGTTAAGAGGAGTTGAAAAGGTTTGAAAGGATCTCAGTAGATTATAATTAGACATAACAAGTACAAGCGCCTCAGGTATTGATCTTCTGATGTGTCAGAATCTTTTTGATGATCTCACTTCCCCACCCCTCTACAAATGATGTAGCAGAGGGCTTCAGACACTTGTAGATAACACTTAGATTTCATGTCCTGAATTGGGATCTTCTTAGTATATTGCTACAAGTACTCTCCTGCATATCAACACTTTGTAATACACTACAGTAGCTATGTAGCTTTTCATATGTGAAAGAAGTTCTCAAATCCATTTGTCAATACCAAGATGTTTTTCTCCATTGTAAAAGTGACCAGTTTTTTAGTGATTCAGTCTTGGAACCCACTTTCTGCCTGGAACTATGTGAGACACTGAAGTCAAGGAAAGATAGAGCTGCATAGCTACTTCAGAAAACTAATGATTTTCTAGGGGATTACAGTTTTGTATTAGCTGACCTACTACCTCTGTTAATCCCTCTTGACAAAGCCTTCAGAGAAGACCTGGCACAGGTGAAATAATAAAAAACTATACTTAAGTAGAGGAACATGGAAGAAATAATTGCCCTTGGTGCATCTTAGCTCATGGAAATCTTGTTTCCGCAGTCTGTCTTTGCTGAGAAAGGACATAATTGTGATTCCCTGGAAGAGTGGTCACTGGCTAAATTGGGTTTCTTTTTCCATAGTTGAAATGATGAAAACTAGTAACTTTGTGTCTTTTTGGCATGTCATTATGCACAGGCAAATTAAAGGGGTTTAGGTGCAACTATGTCCGCTTGGAAGTTGGCACTTTAGGGCTTCATCTTTCCTGTGCAGCTGCTTGTAGGAGGATGCAAAGGGGTGGGTCTAGATGGCTCCTTTACTCCAAACTGAAAGGACAAAGTTGTTAAATCATTAAAATATGAAGGTAAGGAAAAAAGTACTCTTTCTGCAGTCGAGCATTGTAAGTAAAAGCTTTTCAGTGCCAATTTGTTTGAGTTGTTACTAAAAAGCTGGCATAAACGCTCCCAGTTTTGCTTTGATGATGTAAATGTCAGGCACCGTAATACTAGGTCAGATAGATATTCTGTCTTGCTCATCCTGTCAAAAAAAATCAAATGTTCCTTACCACGTTTGCATTTCTCTTATGAAAAACAGGAAGAAATGCTATGCTGGCTTTCACCTTTGTCATAAATTCTAATTTTTCCTTTTGTAGATTATTAAAAAGGCTTTTTCTTTTATTCCAGCAGTAGCAAATGAATTATGCATTCTTATCCCTACCAAATGTTAAACTTCCTTTTAATTGAATAGTAATAAATAAATCTCATGACTTTGGAGCATTTTAAGTAAGCCACAAAAAAATATTCTTGAATGCTGATGTCCTTGCTGTCACAGTTAGTTTGACATTCTTGTGTGTTATCCATTCAAGACAGTCACTTACTTTTCCTGAAAAACGTTGGAAGGGAAGCTAGAATTCAGGAAATGCTCATGCAGAGAAATCCTGTTGGTCTTAAGTGCTGACAAGCTGTATAGGAGAGAGGTGCCATAATGTAGCTTACCAACTTGGAGTCAGAAAAAAGAATCATGGAAAGTTCTAATGGTAACTTCTGTAATAATGGTAGTGCTGCTATATTAAATGCATTTCTTATATACAGAATAAAATATGGCAGAGTACCCCAGTTTACAAATTCTTTGTGTATTCAGTAGAGCAATGCATACTGTTTGGTGCCAAAAAGCAACTGCATGTTCCCTTGCTCTGCGTAACTCTGAAGGCTGAATACAAATCTTTTGCAAAGATTATATGCCCGTGCATTTCACAAAGGGGGCTGTTTTATGTTTCAAGAGAGATACTTTCCTCAACTACCCAGCAAGAGCTGGAAAGAGAGTCCCATTTGAGTTCAGAGAACAAGACCTCATTGTGTCATTAGGATCTCCCAATTCAGTTTGTGCTGTTTTCAGCACTCCCTCTCCTATACCTCAGAATTTTTTGAGGTTTTCTAACTTGAAGCATGCCCTAATGCCATAATTGTTTTTTCTAGTAGTGGTTGATGACTTTTAGATTCTATGAGATACTTAAGTTGTATACAAGTAGGTGCCTACTGTTGAGGAAATCCTGGGGCCATGGTTGATTTGCAGGTTGAAAACGTATAGAAATCCCATCTAGTAGATGGATTTTGCACTAGCAGATTAATCTCTTCACGGTTTCTGCTGTCTCACCTTCAGATAATTTTGCACTGGCACAGATTTCCAGGATTATAAACACCTCGGATGGAATTGGATTCAGGACCTGTGATGAAGAACTCTTTAAATCTTTCCAGAGTTTTCTTGATTTTTTTTTTTTTTCATTTATAAATTACAGCTGAATGACAGAAAGAAATTAATCCTCTTATTCCTAGATTGGTGTCACATATATTTCCTTTTACTTTGAGTGCTTCTGATGTGTTTCAGGACTTTGTCCCACTGTACCAGGACTTTGAAAATTTCTACAACAGAAACCTCTACATGCGCATTCGGGACAGCTGGAACCGTCCAATCTGCAGCGTGCCTGGGGCCAAAGTGGACATGATGGAGAGAGTTTCCCATGACTATAACTGGACATTCACGTGAGTCAAAATTGAAAAAAGGGCTTCCAACAATTATCTTTAAGTAGAGGGTTTATAAAAGAAAGCTGTAGATTGTGAGGTTAAAGGAGCAGTGAATCGTGTTTTGTTTGAGTTTTCCAGTGGCTTAAATCAGTGAGTTTTGCTGTTTTGAAACACATCTGGCACCAAGGTGATTATTTATGTATAATCTTTTGGATACTTACAAAGGCTCCTGACTGTGTTAAGATTTCGTGGGCCTATAATAAAATGAATACTTTGTGTGCATGGCCAGAACCTGGAGTAGATACATTGGATTGCAGTTCTTGGGACTTTGATTTAGAATCAGTCCTGACACTCGGAGTCAACATTGCTGCCTGAAACTGAATTTAACATGATGGTTTTGAATCAGAATTCAAGTAGTCTGTATCAGAAATGCAAGGACAAGGATTTTTTGCAAATTGGAAATGATATATCACAAGTTTGATATGAGGAGGTTTTCAGCACAGTACTTGGTGAAACTAGTCATGTCTCTTCATGGCTTTCAAGGGCAAAATAATTAAAACTTATTTTCCACTAAACTTCTTCCTTAATCTTTTTGTCACGTATCGTTAGCACGGCAGTGCCAGATGTGTTTCCTTTCTGTGGTTAGAGGATATCCTGCTTGAGGGGCTGCCAAGTTAATTGATCTAGAGGTCTTATTTTGTAATTGAAAAGAATGTTGTACGTTTAGGGGATGGAAGGGGTACGTGTCAGAGAAACAACAACTGGTTTGAGAAGCCTCAAGCAATTTTAGATAAGATAGCAAATTCACCTTTTAATGTAAACTCTTCTGGGAACTAGTTTGAGACCATAAAATGGGGAAGGCATCTTTTTCACTGACGACTTCATTTTGATGAGGGGCAGTACTGAAATAATTTAATGGTTGGTTCTACTGATTTTTAACATTTCAGTGTATATTCTAGGGAACTGAAATAAGACTCTTCCAGTATAGTTGTTTTGATTGTGGGTGTCCTAACCTGTGGTGGTTTTTAAAACAGGTACACGGGAAGAGTAATAAAGGACATTATTAATATGGGTTCCTACAACTACCTTGGATTTGCACAGAAGGCTGGGACTTGCCAAGAAGCAGCAGCTAAAGTTCTGTCACAGTATGGAGCTGGGGTGTGCAGCACTAGGCAGGAGATGGGTAAGTTGGAGCAAGATAAGGTGTTCCCCAAATGTAGGTTTCAAAGTCTGTAATCTGATTGCAGGACTTTGGGATATTACTTGTTCCAGCTGTTGAACTTTAGCTGAATCAATAAGGAAGTTTTTACTTTAGTGAAGACAGATTGACTTGCTGGGTTTAGTTTACATGGTACAGAAGTTGGCTTACTTAGGTTTTCATATATATCTTTTTCCATGTTCCCTTATGGGATTTTATTTAAAGAGCAACTTGATGGTTGGAAATTATCATAGAATATAACAATAGTGAAAGGTTCTCCTCACTCTGAATTTCCTATTTGTTTTATGTGCAGGAAACTTGGACAAACATGAGGAGCTGGAAAAGCTAGTTGCCAGGTTCCTAGGTGTGGAATCTGCAATGGCATATGGAATGGGGTTTGCAACCAACTCTATGAACATTCCTGCTTTAGTTGGCAAGGTATGGCTGAAGTCACTGGCAAAAGCTCATCTAATGAAGATTCTGCTGATTTGGTTTTCTAAAAGCTACTTGTTTGGTTTTATTTTTCTTGAGTGTCAACCCCTGTAGATATTACCTATAGAAACAATAGGTCACAGTATGCATCTCACCTTTACAAAAATCTTGCGGGAAGCAGCATCCATGGGACCAGTAACAGTCCAGATCTTGCCCTCTTTCTGGGAGACAGCCATGCATGTTAAGGCTTTCTTCCTCAGGCTACTCATTAGTGTATGAAATGCTGGCTGATTAACAGGCTGATTGGCTGAGGGTATTTCGATGCTCTTGAGACATTAAGAATTGATTTGTGTTAGGGGGACATGCAGATTAGCTGAATTGCATGTTGGTACATACAGAATTTATTATCTTTGAGCAACAGCTGAAAAGTCCTTCCTTTGAGGGATCAAAGTCCTGGTAGAAAAGCTATTTGAGAGAAACAAGGTCGAATGTAAAGACTGATCATGTCTACTGTGTGCCCTGTAAAACAGTATGCAATGCAGCCTTAGTGTCCTGAATCTCAAACTATGTTTTTGCTTAGTTATTGGAAAATTAAATGGAAGAGCTCTTTGTTTGTATCTTCTGATGTAAAATATGTGTTCTCTTAGCTCCTACTTAAATTAAATTAGTGAAAGTACTGGAACTGTCTCTTCTTTTAGAAAGTTATTCACTGATAGCCTAATACTATTAGCCTATTGGAATTTTTTGTCCCTGTGTAGTGAATTATTTTCCGTTTATTCTATCTACGGATTATAAAATCACTGCCTTGTTCTTCCAAGCAACTCTTCCTGCTGGTGAATCTCTTCCTGACTAGCTGTTGTTTTACTTGTAACAATGAAGCAGCACTGTCTACATAATACCTCTTATTTTGGTCTGTTAAGTTTTAAATATCACATGCTTTCTATAATAAAAAACATTTTTGAGTCCAGTGCCAGAGAGAAACTCAGTGCTTCAAATCTAGTCTTTCCAGAGTCAAATACGTCTGCTGTGATATAATTTTGAACAACATACGTTACTCCTGTCATATCTTTTACTTCCATTTTTCTGCTCTTTGTCTTCCCACATCTCCCCAGTTTTTCTCTTCAACAGAGAAATGATTCATGATTTCTGTGAGACCTATCGGATTTAAAACACACATGGTCAGGTACATTTAAGTAGACTTCTCTCTGTTGTAAGTCAGTACAAATTGCCAATCACTGCAAAGTTACTCAATCCTTCCAATGTATGTGGATTCTACTGTATATCTTTAATGCCTTATGAGAATACTCTTGAGAAGCCTTACTCAGCTCCTTAGTTTTCACATTTGAACTTTAACAGTTTTTACAAGCATTGAGAGAATCTGAACAGCAAATTCCAAGGCATATAACATACCTGTTTTCATGCACTTAACTTGCGCATTTACTAAATCAACTCTTTTCATAAATGAATACAGCAGTTTGTACTGTGTTAGTAATAAGCATACTTAGTTTTTGTGAGCTTTAAGTAGTAAGAATCTTCTGCCTCATAACACTAGAAGTGCCTTTATACTCAGGTGACTACTCCAAACAGAAAATGATCTCTTCTGAAGAAAGAAGTTTTTGTCAAATTGACCATTTCACAGTTCAGAATATTTACTAAATGCATTTTTGGGCTGCCTGAAGTTGCTTCTCACAGCACTTTTGATTTCTTCATTGTCTGAAAATAAGGACTCACATAAATCCTGAATTCTGGGAACACCCAGTACACGCTGGCTGTGTGTGCACAGCCTGTTTGGCAGTGCTTTGAGAGTCCTCAGTAAAGCCCAGAGACTCCCATGCTAGGTTAAACTTTTGGGCTCTCATTTTTTCTCTTACTGTTTGTGTCTCTCCATGTCCTACATTCATTTTTCAGGAGCAAAGCTGCTTGGAATGCATTTTTGGAGGTTTGGCAAATATAATCAGTAATGGCATCTGAATTTGGCCAGAAGAATTTTCTTTGACATTCACTGATATGATTTGAAACTAATCATGATTTGCATCGTATCTGGGCACCTATATTGCAACTTAATTTAGAACACAAACCACTGCAATAAAGTTATTCACATATATGTAATACTGGACCACCTGTTCTGTTTTTGCTCTGTGGAATCCCTGAGCACTTGGTTTATGTTGCTACTGAATCTTCTTTTAATAGCAGTAAATATGACTTAACTATCCTGGGATCCAATTCTACCACATAATCTGATCAGCACTGGTCAGCAAAAGGAATTCAAAAGCTTCATCAGCAATACCTAGTTATCTTTATTCACTATGCCGTGTTAACAGCAGCTTCTACTAAGCAGATGCTGAAAACAGGTATAGTTGGTGTACACTGAAAGTTATATTTCAGTGCTGTTAAAGCATCACTAAAAACAGGTCTTTCTGCACCTGGCAGTTTTCAACAGGAGAGATTTGCTGTTGACAGCCAAGCTGCCAGCTGCCTAGTATAGTCACTGCCAAATATGCTGAGTCTAGACCACGGTTTGTGTGAGATTTGAGGACTACATAGTCAGAAGTTGTTAGACCGTTTGAGGATAAGATGGACTCTGAAACTTGCCTGTGTTGGAGTAAGTGTCATTAATGCAGTTCCTGTAACTAGTGAATAACAGCATTCTGTACTGCTTTTAGCACACAGCTTTTCATCACAGCTCTGGACTGACAGGCTAGATAATGGAGTTAGAGCAACAGTGCTTGAAGGTTGGGTTTTCTGTTGTATGAGAACAAATTAATTTCCACGTATAGTTAGTTTGTGAAATTAAGTGCTCGTGACTGAATTGTGCAATTCACATATGCAGAACTTTGTGATAAAATGTGGCGTTCACTTCAGTTTGTGTCTGCCTTGTAGAATGCACTGGTAAGTCTGATCTTCACCGGCATATGTTTTTCTTGATACCAGTAGTGTGATCTCCAATTAGTGTTAGTCTTCTGGATACTATCTCTAATGTAAGCTTGCTGATAAATGCAGCTGCAGTTTTATCATTGTAATAGCAGCACTCAGTTTTACATATGATCATCAGTGATTGTACTGTATCAGTGGCTTCTTTGATCCTTTGCCCTCTCTAGTGGCAGACGACACTACATTCTCTACTTCCTCTTCAGTTTTAATTTATTTTTTCTAATTGAATGTCCTCTTTTGTTACGGGGGGTGAAAAGAGGTTGTTCATTGATTTGTTAATTCTTCTTTCTCTACAAAAAGCTCATACTTGTTTTTACGGAGAAGCTCCTTCTAGACTATTAATCTCTTCCTCTTTTTTTAATGTATCACTTTTCCTACTTCCTACCATTTAAAAGGATACTAATATTGGATTGTTATATTCAGGTTTTGATACAGTAGTGTTTAACGTGCCCTGTGATGTAGTATACATACTCCTTGTCTAGTATAGTAGTTCCAAAGAGCAAACACTAGTTGGAGATTTCCACGTTTCTTATGCCAAAGCCTCTGAAATATGCAGTGTGAATCCTTGTAACAGCAATTTGAAGACTTTAGATTTAGTGCAGTTTCTGGGGAAAACTGATCTCGACCTTTCCCAGAGTGTAGAATATCTCCAGGTACATTGCAATTCTGGTGCAAAATTTTCTTTATTGTGAAGAAAATGCTCCTATCGTCTGTAACATCTCTTTGTGTGACTAGGCAATACTTTTCACAGTCCCTTCTAATAATTCTCACTGCAGGGAAGAAATGTTCTTGACTCTTCCTTCCACCAGTTGTTAATAGAGAAACATAGAATGAGCATGTGTTTAGTGTCAGATACTCAGCATCTTGACACACTTTCTAGGTTTTTAACAAAGGCACTTCTAGAGTTGCAACAGACTTGCATAGTAATTGCAGTGGGATAAGGTTATTTAGAAATATTATTGCTCTCTTACAAACTAATCCCTCAATATGAATTCCTGTAGTTCATAGTGACAACACTGTGACTGAATGTTCAGCGTTATCAGCTTTTGACCTGTAATTATTTCTCCTCTCAGAACAGACTTATCCTGTTTTGGTATTTGTCGAAGGATATAGCTTCCTTCTTTTGAAAAAGCAAACAAACTCGATCTAATGTTTAATGGCTTCAGAAAATTTCTTAATTTCACGCTGCAATTTTGTTTTCTACTTCCTGTCTCTTGTATGTTACTTGTATCTACAAAGTGCTTAATAATTCTGTTCATTAAAGAAAATTAGTCCCTTTGGTACCACTGAGCACACATGGGTTTAGTCAGTGGTTACCTCCTAATATAAGAAATAGTGCAATAGGTCTTTAATCTAGGACTTTGATCGCCTGTTTCCTAGCACCACTGTAAACTTGCTCAGTGAACTGCGGCGAACTGCTCTGCTCTCTGGTTTATCTGGCTGCAGAGGAGGATGAGTACTAACCATCAACACAAGATATTCAGGCAGATTCAGCTGCAGGACTATCTGGGAAAAGTGAAACTTTAGTGCTGCTCTCAGTTAACATCAGTTGCGTGGTTTGTTTTTTTGTTTTTTTTTTTTTTTTTATTTGCCACACAAAGGCTGCAGATGGTTTCTAGCTAATCTTACCTGGACTAGCTGTACTTGTGTTGGAAATACTTTTTAGATTTTTTTTCTTAAATGATCTCTAAGCAGTTCAGATCTGAAAGGTGTTACATGTTTGGCTGTGAAACATAACCTTTCAATATCTTCCTCTTTCCCCTTCTAATTCAGGGCTGTCTGATTTTGAGTGATGAACTGAATCATGCATCACTAGTGCTTGGAGCAAGACTGTCAGGAGCAACTATTCGAATCTTTAAGCACAACAGTAAGTATCAGATGGTGGACTCTGCCTTTCTGCAGATGCTATAGATCAGATACAATCTCTTCTATCTTCTAATAGTTGGAAATCCAATTTCATGCAAGGAAATCAATTGCTGGTTACCTGAAAGGTCAGAAGACGGCTGCTACTGAGAATTTAATTATCCTGAGTTGGGTACTTTTTGATATGTTCAATCTCAGCTAACAATTTTATCCTGAAGCTGTTCCAGTTTACATCATCTGCATATGAAGAGGAACATGCTGCCCTTTGGCAATTCTAGGGGCACTAGTGTTTTAACATGGCTTCCTGTTACTTGAATAGCTCAGCACAGTTAGACTATTCTAACAGTCCCTGTCACATAGTAATCAATCTTGTAGTAGTCTAGGTTACAGTTTGGGGAATAAGACAGTTTTAATTTTTGGACCAGATGCCAACATGATCCTACAGTAACAAAAGCTTACAGATGCATATGTCCTAGCTAAACTACCCATCCATTGGTACAATATAGTACAAAACAAATTTTGGGGATGTGAAGAATAGATTAATTTCACCAAGTTACTTGCTTTAAGTATTTGTTTCCAAAATACACAGAATTTTCACGTTGCTAGTTTCAGCTTCCTCCAAAGGAGGTGTTTAGAGTAACTTTCAAATTAAAATTACTTAACATTTCCTTCTCTTAGTGAAAGAGATACCTGGTTGTCTTTTAGTAAAGCCACTACCTTCATTCTTCAGCCACTCCTAATACCCTTTATTGGTATTGATTCCTGAGATCATGGTGACTCTTGCTCTCTTTGAAGTATGTGGTGGAGAGAGCAAAGCTGTGGTGGCTGCAGTTATTTTACTTTCATTGTCCTACTTGATAGTGAATCCTCTGCTGTGCTTATTGTTTCTTTTGTGTTCTCTTGTTCAAATAATTTTCTTTACAGAAGTGTAGAGCTTACTCTAACATTCAATGATTATTTTTTGTTAGTTTGTTTTTCTTAATTCTTCATTAATCTTGATTGCTGGGCAAGATCACAAAAGCTTTGCATTCATCTTCTGCATTTGTATATACATACTTCTGAACATTGCATCTAGTTCCAGTTTTAGAAATTTGGAAAGCACTGGTAACAAACATAGTTCTGGGTAAGAGGAGAAGGACTTAAAAGTTCTGGTGTTTTGAGGAAGAATAGATTATCTATGGGGATGGGGTACAAACTAGCAATGGTGAGATTGGGGGATATTCTAGAAACCTTATAGGTGGTAGGGATCTGTGAAAGAGAAAGGAGTGACGGATTAGAATCAGAAGGCAAAATGCAAGCAATGATCTTGGCCTGTCAAGGTGATGTTCAATTCAGTTATGTATGTGTTCTCAGTCCTACTCTTGTTATACCCTCTGGTGCCTTAGTTAACTTCATATTCCTGAGATGTTAATGGCTTCGTTCATATTCTGCTTTTTAGAAAATATGGAAAAAAAGGGAAAATTCCCCTAAAAAAATCTTTGTTCAATGTTTTAATTTCTTCATACCTCATTCTGCAGGTTGTCCTTTTTATGAAGATTGGACCTAGTTTGCAGTCTTTCCCTCTTTCTTGAGAGATCAGAGCAGAAGTTTGCATTCCATTACTCTCCCTAACTGCACTAAATTTGTCCTTTCTTCCTTGAGAGATTTGTTGGAGGCAGGGACTCCACTCCTGACTTCTTCATCTTTGTTTTTTCTGAACATTAGCTGTTTTTAATAGACTGTTAACTGACATGTTTTGCTGTATAATTTCTAGTTTTTATCTCCTCTTGCTGCTGCAACTGCCCTAGTTTATCAATCCTCTTTTCATGATTGATTATGCTGTAATATTTGTATCTGTCTCTTGCTCAGCACTTTGGCTTTTATGGTTTGATTACTCTTCATCTCCACTCCTTTCTTCAAGTATTTTTTCAGTACTGATTTCATGTGTATTTATTTGCTCATATTAGTCAGCTCTCTTAGGATCATGTCAAGTTCTCATTGCCAAAGCTAGTAAGGTTTCAGAATACATTGCTATGAACAGCTTCATCTGTCTATTTTCTGATATGCTGGGCACTGTCCTTTTTCCTGCACTGGTGATTCTTTTTTCTTCCTTTTCTGTTCTCTGTTTAATAGTTTCCTGTTCCACACCTCCAGTCCCTTCAATTTTAAACAAAGTAATAAAAAAAAAGTACACTTGCTCCCCTTCTTGTTCTGCACTTTGGTCTATCTTCTACTTATCTTTAGTTGATTATCCTTGACCTTGCTTGTTCTTTTTTGAGTTATTTCTATCCACAAGAACATGCTTGCTACCAAAATTGCTGCTTCTTTTCCTCACAATGAGATATATGCCTTTTTTTTTTTTCTTCCTTTCTTGTTTGCTGTTTGTGCTTAATGCTCTAACTTATGCTTTTAGTTTAGGTGGTTGAAATTCTTCCTCAGAGTTCATACAGTCACCCATTCCCTTTAATCTCATCTGTGGGCCTGCAGCTAGATGAAGCCCATGCTTATTGACTTATGTATGGTCTGTCTTCCACACTGGAGCAATTTGTGCATTTCTGAAGTATTGCTGTCTTTAGTCATGACAAACCTCAAGCTAGTAGCTGTTTTGGTACCATTTAACAGTAATTTCTGGTGCAGATATGCAAAGCCTGGAGAAGCTGCTCAAAGATGCTATTGTGCATGGGCAACCTCGTACACGGAGGCCCTGGAAAAAAATTCTTATCTTGGTGGAAGGAATATACAGGTACAAACTATTCTTTATATTCCTAAAACCCTCCACATGAGATCTAACTGCTTAGTATTTGAGTTCCTTTGCCAAATCAAACTGAATATTGTCACTTCATAGTTATTTCATCAACTCTGTGAATTAAATTGAGCTATATATGACTCACATCCTGAACTTTCTGTTGGTAGTGCTGTAGCTGCACCTGGTGTTATCACAATGCTTCCCACATCCTGATTAGATTATAGAAATTAATTAATCTAAACTGATTATTTACATCAGAACTGAGGTCTTAAATTGCTTGTCCATTCCATTCTTTCTGTGCTCACTAGATAATGCTAGTGTGAATGGAATTGCACAAATTGAATGTTTTTGCTGAGAGAGGAGCCTGTAGTAGGCTTAGCTGTGTTAGGCATTTAAATCATAGTGACTTTCAGCACAAAATGGGGCACTTTGGGGTGCTACTAGTGAAAGCCTAGTCCTTAAACTTAAAAGCAACGGGTAAGTAGATGTCAGATCAGAATACTGACATTAGGGTGGAAGTAAAAATGAGAATTCATTTATAAAATTTTCACTGAACACATTTCTTTGCCTTACCTTGCTGTTGCTGCTGCTATTTAGTGCATATGTCAGCATCCCAGAGATGTTAAACAGATAGAAAGTAGAGATCTGGGCCCCGGGTGCAAGGAGGAGTTATCTTTCATCTCTCTGCAGGAAACAATGTGTCTAGCAAATTTTATGTGTTCGTAATTACTGAAAAAGTGAAGAAAAGAAAGCTTACTGACTTTTGGCTCTATAAGGAAGCCCCAACCATTAAATCGACTTACACTGAATTTCTGTTTCTCAACAGTATGGAGGGATCCATAGTCCGTTTGCCTGAAGTGATTGCCCTTAAGAAGAAGTATAAATCCTATCTGTACCTTGATGAGGCTCATAGTATAGGTGCCCTGGGTCCCAGTGGCCGGGGTGTAGTGGAGTATTTTGGACTCAGTCCTGAAGATGTGGATGTTATGATGGGAACATTCACCAAAAGCTTTGGAGCTGCTGGAGGATACATTGGGGGCAAGAAGGTAAAAAGCTGGGAATCTCATAGCTGTTTCAGGCTGGTGGTGGAATACTTCACTAAGCATTTCAAAGTTGATCTATTTAAGTACCCTGATTGTCCATTTGTTTCATAATTTTACATACTTTCTAGTACAGTGAAAGTCTGTGCAATGCAGAAGAGTCTAGTCTAGTAAAATACCTCATAACTGTATAGATCTCACGTGGTCAGCGATGATCTCGGTTTGCAGAGTGTACAGTAGTGGTGTAGTATCTTTTCAGGAACTGCTAGGAGCCAGGAAGCAGGAATTTCTTAACATTACTTTTAATGAGACTTGCAGGAAAAATGCCAGAAGCTGAAGATTTTCAGCCTGTTTGGAGGAAAATCCTCTTCTTAGGTTAGTCAGGTAGAACTCATTTCCTCTGGGCCCAAACAGTTTGTTTTTTAGAAAACACTTCTTTCCTTTTTGTTTGTTGCTTTTTTTTGTTTTGGTTTGGTTTTGGTTTTTATTTATTTTTTTTGTTACTGACTTACTTTGATTGGCAACACTTTCTGGCAGTACTTGCCCTTGCCAAACACCTCTTTTTGGGAGGAATGGTGTAGACAATTGCATGTGTTCCTTTTCTCATATCCTCAAATGTATGTCACAGATCAGGCTTCTGTATTTTTTGAGAGTAAATTCTCCCATTCTCCTACCAGGACAATAATGTTTTAGATACTAATAGTGACAATTACTTCAGCCCATCCAAATGGAGATGGGACTTGCAGATGTTCCTCTTTGGGAATTTACTACCATTGGATTAAAATTACTCTCGACATCTTCCCCAGAAGAAAGCACTATATAAATCTTTTCCCAAAGGTAGTGAGCTAGTAGGATTAACTCCCTTGGCATAAAATAAAACAGCTAAGAGTCTTTTGCAACTGTGTCTTAGCTACTGTTTTGAGGTATTACTTCAGAGGTAAGAAGTCTTAAATCTTCTTACCTGGTTTATTTCAGAGTCCCTTTACAAATTCATTTCATTTCACTCTGACTCCAGGCAGACAGCAACATAAAATTGAATGTTTTCACATATTTCTATAGTATTTTCTCAGCTTGTGCTATCTACAGGGCCATAATTATTAATTTAGTGGTAGCAGAAGAGAGAATCTGTCCTGTCATTCATACTGGTCTTTATGATATTTTTCTGGAGTGATCTGGTTATTTTAGAGTGGTTTTGTTACACTTAACAGCAAGCAGCCTATATCTACAGTCTGTTGGTCCTTTGTTCCTATATGACCCACTTTTGTCCTCTTAAAAATGTAGCAGGTATGTTTAACTGGGAAATTCAAGAGAGGTAGGCTGAGGTCCTTAAACTCTTAAATTACACCTGCTGCTTTATTTGTATTGTGCTGATAAATAGGAGAAAGTACTTTGTGACCTATTCCCCTGTTTGGTGACTTTTGTGGGGAAACAATTATATTGAGCATGATACATAAGCACCTATGCATCCTGCTCCCCACTATTTCATTTGTTTTATACTCCCACTGTTACAATAAACACTTTTGAAACATAGCCTGTGCACAGCTTGAGTAATGTGAGTAATGCAAACACCTTGTTGCAATGCAATGCCGATGGTGTTAGCTAAATAAGTTTGTCATAGACATTTGTCTTTAATCAACACACATTCCTGACCTGTGACATAATTATGGGTTGTCATCTCTCTGCTGTTCACCTTTCAACTGTTTAGTACCTGTACCATAAAATCAATCCTTGATATACCTGTTCTCTTCCAGGACATTCTGAAAAAGGTTTCTTGTGCTGGCCTGTTTTGTTGCGTGATTAAGACATGCCAATAAAACATTTTTCTGAGTGCTGAGAAGGCAATGACTGATGCCTCTTGTGTTTTACTAGGAACTGATTGATTACCTCAGGACATACTCTCACAGTGCTGTGTATGCAACATCACTGTCACCTCCTGTTGTGGAGCAAATCATCACCTCCATGAAGTGCATTATGGGTGAAGATGGTACAACTGTCGGTGAGTCTTTCTAACAATAAGCATGTAGAAGGGGGAAGCCAAACAGCCGCTTTATCACTTTGGCAGATAACTCATCCAGTGGACACATTCTTAATTATCTGTCAGTACATGTAGACTTGGAGTTTCTGGAGCAATAAACCAATTTACTATCCTACTTGTCAGATCAACCTAATAATAGCATGAGGAATTTCCAGCTAGAGGTAAGTAATCTTAGTCTTATCTAAGAAGCAGTATTGTCTTGTATTGATTTTTGTCCTGTGTCTAGGTTTTCTAGCCTCCTCCTTTATCTTTCCCATATTCTGTCCTTTATTTCCCCCACTTTTTAGATTATTTTCAGAGTATTTTGCTGTGTCTTTTAGTCTTGTATGTTGACTACTGCAGGAGAAATGCTTTCAGTTTTCATCACTAGTATAGTTTGTTGTTTGCACTTCAGTTAAAGCGTAAATACGGGAATGTTTCTAAAAATCTCTTTTTACCTGGGGAGCTAGAGACAGTTTTCAAGATCAGTAGACAATGCACCAGGAGAAGAAATTCAGCATTTTCGTCTTTGTCTTAGTTTTTCTTTTTTTCATTATGAAAGTAAGGAAGGGGAAGTATGTACTAGTCTCAATGCATTCAAAGTCAAAACCACAAATTCTTGTCTCATTTGCCTAGCAGCTTCCTTCAGTTACAGTATGAACTAAATAGCTTGCACTTCTGATGTGTAAGCTGCCTTGAAACTGAAATGGTACAGCACTTTGCAAGTAGGATACTTTTCCCTCTTCATGAGTAATTAAAAAGTTGTCAGTAGCTCACACAGGATGACACTATAGTTTGTTGAGGATCTGTCAGTGGCATTCAGTTCAGAGGCTCCTATAACTCAAAGTGAAGAATATATTCAGTTATGGGAGTTTCAGGCATCTGGCCACAAGGTGGTGGTGTATACTGAAGAACTGTACTTGCTTTTGAATATGGGTCACCTGACCAACTAACATGACAGATAAGTCATTTTTCCAGCAAGCATTTTCACTGTAGGAGTTAAGAATTTTTTTGTTATAACAGGTTTCATTCGGTTTGCTAACTTTATCTGAGAACAGACTGAAGTGGCAGCAATTGGTGTTTCTGGTTGCTCAGTAGAGAAGTCAGCACTGAGACAAGCACAGCCAGGCAGCAGCCTGTATCTGTGCTAGCATTGAGGGCTTCAGAGTGGTCCGCGTGAGATCCTTGTACCAGCCAAGAGTTGTCACCAGTGCTGCTCTCAGGAACAGATACTAACGAAGCTTCAAATTACATTAAAAGTTGTGCAAAAGTGTTGGGTCTTGCTGTCATCCTCAAACAGTCCCTATTTAGCTAATGATTTGCCAACAGTCTGTGGTCTGCTCAGGTGTTGCTTGTTTTGGGTTTCTTCCAGTATCTGTTTTCTGTTTGCAGTATTCAGACTAAGGCATTTTTGCCCCTTTCTGGGGCTACAGTGTAATATCCGTCCAAGCCAGGAGAATGGAAGTGACTTCCACTCCAGACAGTTCTCCTGCCACTATGCCAACAAGATCCATCAGTGCTGAAATGTGAACCCGATCAGGAACCAGTTTGGCAAAAAAATAGACTCAAAGGTCCATTTCTGTTGTCGTGTTGCTTAAAATGTACATCAGGGCACATCCTGCTAACGTGAGGCTAAGGAGAAAAAAAATCCTAGCCACTCTTTCTATTGACAAAATAAATGGTTTTGGTGTTTGAAAGCTGTGTCAATTCAAAGAAGCCTCTGTATGTCCCATTTCTATATGAGCTGTAGTGCTTTTCAGAAGTGCTGGATTTAACAGCTGGATAGCCAAAGTTCTGTCTGCTCATACTCAAAAAGGGTTTCTCAGCTATGGGTCTTGTGAAAGTGTTGCTGGCTTTCTGAGCATCCTAAGCCTTCAGCTAGGATAAGCACCTCAGAGGATGATCCCTGCAGGAAAATGCTTCTCTGTCCATTTTCTGCACAGTGGTGTTTGCCAGGCATGCATTTTTTTTAATTGCCCTAAGGCTTTAGAGATAATATTACTTCGTAGGCATTTTCTGTGGATGAAATTGGCAAAAGTTCAGTTGGGTGAATTGAGCAGCTGCTTAGTGGTAGCATGACAAAGTTTTTTGCTAGTTTAAGGGCTTTGACTGAAAAACTAATGTTTGGATTCTGTGGAATTACGGGTGGGGCTCTGGAGGACCACTGCCTGCAGTTGGTTTGACTAAATGTGGAGTAGAGTGGTGCTGGTAAGAGTTGTTAACTGTGGAAGACCAGTAGAGAAATAGTGTTAAATTTCATCACAGTTAAGCACCTCTGAATCAATTATGTACTGCAGAAATTTCACTGCTTTTAAATTCGTCAAGCTGAACTCATGGATGAAGGAAAACTGAGACAGGACAGTGGTTTTATAAGGGCACAGGAGTTGGATCTGGAATCAGAACAGTAGATGGCTAGCTGCCAACCCCATTTTTTGGGCCACAGCTAAATCTTTCAATGGCTTCAAGAATGCTGTTGAAAAGCACCTTTGTGGCTTTGTTGCCTGCCTGTTTCTGTTTACCACACATTATTTGTAAAAGCTGCTGTCCTCCATGGCATCAAACCCATGTGAAAATTGTGATGTCAGATTGAGATGGCCTGTAGCTGAGGAATAAGTAGTAGGATGTAATTAGTTTTTGAGGACGAAAGGGGTTCTTGTGTATTATTTTGCAAGAATAAGTTAATTCTCTCCTCTAATACCTCAGGTTATTTCTAAATCTAATGAAACATCTGGAGGCTCTAAACTTAGTGTAAGGCGTAGTTCCTAAACATTTACATAACTACAAAAAGTAAATACTTCCTTTCAGATCTTTCCGGCAAGCTGCCAGTGACTAAATAGGATATTAGTAGGAGGCAGCACAGACAAAATACAGATGCTATGAAAAGCTGAATGGCTGCTTATAGAGAACATAAGATGGATGGCATGCAAATGTGCTGCCTGAATTGGGACAGTAGTTTCTTGTGTCTTGATTTCTGTTCAAACTAATCTGCTAATTCTCTGTACTGTTGATGCATGTGACTAGCAAACCTCAATCTCTCTGAAGACCAGGGAATATAATTATATATGAATACAAGTATATTACTTGCTCCTTCATCCAGACAGGAAAAAACACTCAAACAGCCGAAGTGATGGCAGAGCCATGTTATGAGTTCTTGGTAGCAGTGCTTTCAGTACTGTTTCTGAAACTCCTCTATGTTGTTAGTTCAATGCTGTATGTCTGTCCTATTTTACGTTGCATTACTTGTCTTGCACATTGATGGCTAAACATACTTGATTTGTGATCACTTTGAGAGTTTCTTCGAATGAACAATTGTCCTCAAGGGTGGTGAACATCCAGAGCACACAGAATGTCTTCAGAGAACTCCAGTGCAAAAATATGCGAGATGAAACCAGTCTAGGAACTGGTTAACCTCCTTTAGAAATGAAACTTAGTCTGCTTTCCTGTGCATTTAAAAACTGAACTTGAGTCTTAAATCTGGGGATGTTGTAAGTTTGAACTAAAGCTGGCACTGTTAATGGCCTGTAAAAGAGGTGAACTACTTCCCTCCATAGATACTAACTCAATAATAGGAATTATACACGTTGACAAGTTTGCAGTCTTCCATCTCAGCTTCAGGAAGGAAATATCCCACACCAAATTGCAGTGCCATACATAGCATGTGTAGAATAAGTTGTGAATAGACCTTGTCCAAGATGGCACTTAAATTTTGAATGAACATTGTCTTGAACACTATGTAGAAACCAAGGTTTATTACCCTACATACCTCTAATGTTGCACATAATGAAGGTAGCAGTTACATGGGCCATCCCAGCTGCTAAACTATCAGAAATTAATAACTAACCTTTGAAGGCTGGTCAGTTAGCTGCACGTGGTTTGATTGGTATTTGTTTCATCTGAGCACCTTAGTTGTGAAGAGCTAGTAGTTGATTACATCTAGTCAGAGGAAACCTTTAAAAAAAAAAAAATCTAGTCTTGCCATTGCTGTGTGCAACAAACTTAAGTGAGTTAAATGAGAAAAGGTAGTTAAACCAATTATAGCCAAAGTGAATAAGAATGTACAGCTGTGTTGGCAGAGAACTGAGCCTAGCTGAGCTATTGAAGACAGGACCATTGCCATACTGTTCATATGCACAGGGAGAAGCATGCTGGAAACAAAACTAAGCCTGGTCTGCTTAATTTCTAGAGGAGAAAAGATTGCAATTAGTATTTTAACCTCCATGTTGTTAATCAGCCCCTCAAGTGAAGATACGACCTCAGTAGTTCAACCAGCTGTCTAATCACTGGGGTACTTCAAGTTGGACATTTTGTAAAATTCCCCTTTTCTTTCCAAAGACAACCTGGAAATATATGCAAGTATAAAGTGTAAGCAGTAATGAAGGAATATCCCACATTACATCACGTGGAATTTAATTTTAAGTAGCTTATAGTATATTTATAAGTGAACCTTCTACCTTGCCGTTGTTAGCAGTAGATCCACAAATGGAAGGGGTGGCAGCTGTTGTACTGGAAAGGGGAAATAAATACTGCTTGTGCAGGCTGAGGTTGAAAACATTCAATTAGCATTAAAATCGGTTCATTTGAATTTCCTCCAATAATACACTTGTTAATGAGGTGTTAAATTATCACCTTGGGAACCCTGGGACCAGTCAAAACTAATTTGAGCAAAGTGAAAACTTTTTTTTGTTGCTGCCCTTGAGAATCTCAAGCTGAGCTGGGAAACTGTTGGAAAAACAAATACTCTGGGGGTCATAAAGAGTTTCCTGCTTCTCTCCAGGGGACTAACAGTTTTAAGCATCACTCTCTGTATTTGTGCTTCCAGCTGGGGATCTTTTAAATCCAACTTGTTGCTGCACCTCTACATCCTTCCCACAGAGCATGGCAAGCCTCCAGAAAAGTTGTTTTAACCTGGGCTGGGCAGTAGAAGTCTTTCAGCTTTTGGTGCTTTGAAGAGTGTTTACAGATATTAGCAGAAGCTATACTCT